TTTTTTAAAGGTTTTTTCAATATATGTTATGTTTCTATTTGGCCATTACTTCGTGGTATTTATTTAACATTAATAATTTTATTCTGTTTGGGTTTGTACTGTCGTAGACAATTTAATTCAATATTATATCTGTTTCTACACATATAGATTTAATTTAATCTGGATTCAACTCGCTCTTCATTTTTTTCTGATTATTAAAACTAGAAAAAGATGAAGAAAGTTAGTTGAATCAAGATTAAAATCAAACTACGATAGTAGAAACGAACACTAATCGATATATGTATATCTTAAACGCCAGGAGGTTAAAGAGATTAATATAGTTTTTATAAGAATCCGCATTATTAGATAATGTGAATCAGAAAACGATGAAGAGTGCGGTGTTGCGGAACTCTGAGAGTTAGAAGAACAAGTGGGAAAACGTCACTAGCAACGATGACAACTAGAACGGCGGCAACTAGAGACCGCATTGTGCCGGTCGGTGATAAAAGCTGTCGCATCGTTTTGCGGCGGTATGTATCTACCTAACCCGGGAGAAAATTTGACAAAGAAAAACGAAGGAAATCGGGAGAGAGAAGAAGCGAAAGGGATGACGAATGGAGAGCGAGAGATCGGGCTCGCGAGATAAAGAAAGTCGACAATAATGCCGTCGTCGGTGCACCCTCGATCCCGTGGTACCAGGCGCAGCAGGCAGCCATTATATTGTTTTACCTCTGCATCTCGGACGGAGATCGGCGAATGTTATACCGCGGAAGGACTGAATACGCGCGCGCCTTCGACGAGTAGACAAAACCTGCGGAAAAAGGGACTTGCAAGGGAGACTCGAACGAATATGACAGAGACGCCAATGGGGTGAAAGCGCGTTAATCCACCTTTCGCGACTTCGAGAGATTGAATGCGCGCGAGATACCATTAAATCCAGAACCAATCATTTTCGCATTTAAACTCCTGTCTTTAATTTGATCGTGACTTTTCGTCACGACTTCGGGACTAGAGACGGAGCTAGAACGGAATTAGCGCGGCTAGAAGTGCATTCGATATGAAGACTCGAAGGCTAGAAAATTGACAAAAAATTATCGACCATGGAAAAATCGACGATTGAAATTTTTTTTACGTATATACAAGTAAATTTCTTTCGTTTTGTAAATAAAATTCATCTGTACGTTATACTGAAAGAGTTTCGCACGTATGTATTCATGTAATTGTGTGCATGAAGCTAAGGGAATTTCACATTATTGGCGAAAATAATTCCGGCTAGCATATTATCCTCTCACGTCGTCATCGCCAATAATATGTTCACGTAGTACACGGTATGCGTATCAGCGATATTGAAATCGTAGAAAGGTATTCGAGATCCCGCGTTTCCCCCGCAGCGACGCCCATGCGGGGTTTGGAGGTGAAAAAACAATACTGCAACGACCCGAACCCCTTTCGCCTCGATCACGATAGAGACCCTTTTCGCGTGCTCTTATCTCTCTCCTCCCTTTATCTCGCCGGTCTTCTGTCTTTTCTCTTTCTTTTCTTTATCTTCCTTTCCCTTTCACCTATACTTGTTCCCTTCTCGCTATCCTCTGGTGAAAATTCTTCTACATCACGTCGTTTGGTCTCGCGCAACGAGGTACAATGCAACCCCGGGATGCATTGTGAATCAGACTCACCAGACAACCTGCGACGACGTCGACAACATGACGACAGCTGTGCACGATGATATCTAAGCTGAACTGACTGTATTTAATTCGGAAATATTTCTTAAGCAATGTCTCGAGAATTAGTATATCGCTCTCGCACGCGTTCAATTATTGGATATTATTGGAAATGAAAGAGATAAGATAATTCATTATGAAAATGAAAAATCTTTGTATATGTATAGATTGTTGATGCTTCGCAAAAAATCATAATTTTCATAATTTTAAGTGAAAATTATAAAATCTCTGATTACTCGTCTGACACAGCTATTCTAATTAAGATTCTCAGAAATCGTTTTTGAATAAAAACGTTTTTAAAGACTTTTCTCAAAATTTCTACAAATAAATAACAAAAGCAAAACGAAATATGTCGTAACCACGTATCTCCTTTTGTTAGTTTATTATACCGTTATAATTACTGCGCAATTAAATAATGTTAAAAGGCGGAGTTTGCAAGAGTGACAGAATTACCTCACTTTCAAGGCAACTATAGCTTTTTTTCTCGAGCTATTATAATTGTTTCAAGGGAAATTTGTTCTGTTGATCTATTTTCCATATCTCGTCGAGAAGGAAATGAAAGTAGCAACGACGCTCTTCGACGAAAGCGTAAAAAATTAAAAAGTATGTCTTCGTCCTTGTCTTTTAACATGAACTCTTTATAGAAAGTGCGAAGAAAGTGCGTTCTTTTCTCTTCGACGTTATAAAAGTATCGACATTATCGGGAGAACCGCTGAAGACTTAAATAACTCTCTTTGAAGAGCGTATGTACGTAGGAGAGTGCTTAGAACGATGCGACAACGAAGGGTTAGCTTTAATATTGTCTTGTAGCTAATTTATTAAAATGATTTCCGTCGTTAAAAACGGAGGTCGTACCAACGATTTTCATTTTCGACATGCAAAAGTCGTCTCTTATAAATATCATTCTTTCTATACATTTCCCTCATTGCATTTATTAATACGCATGTATTATCATTTTGATTCATTATATTGCAGTCACTGTATAAAAATCGATCTATACATAATGTACGTAAACGTATTCCATAGGGCGATATATGTATACTAAAGGTACATAGTTTAAGGAAGAAATAATAAAAATTTTCAAAGAAAAAGAAAAGTAAAAATTTCGAGACGTTCTTAAATACAATTCAGACGTCATAAGTTAATCACAGAGTCATATTGGCATCTTCAGAGATTATTTAAAATGGCCTTGAAATAAAAACGTACTGTACCAGCTTAAGCCTCTAATGTAAATTTCTATAATTTAAGATGTACTGTGTACGAAACAGGCCAGATATAAAAAAATCTCTCGCCCCACGAGGGGAAACGAGCGACGCCTGCAGCTCGCGCGATGATTGCGCTGTAATCTGCTTTCGTTTTGCTTTTTCGAGGTACGGGGGGTAGCTGCCGCGTGATTGGCCGGGGGCGTTGTTGGGTCTTCCGTTTCGACCGATACATCGACAACAGTTGAGATACTTAGGGAGGATATACGCGGGAGATAAACCTCCAAGAAGAGAATGAGAGACAGAGAGAGAGAGAGAGAGAGAGAGAGGAAGAGACGTGGGAAGACGAAAAGAGACGATGACAAGAGGACGAACGGGGAAAAGGACGAAGGGGGGGTGAAACAACCCTCCTGACACGGGTTATCCTATAAACGGTGCTACCCCCGCAGCAACGCATCGATAATCCGGCCCCCGGGGCCCGCATGCGGTTGAACGCTCGCAACAGTTACCATATTTGATTGCGTACCCTCCTACCTTCCTGTATAAGATCGGAATACGAAGTAATATGCCGTACCGTAAAGTAATACGAAATAATGTTCTGTACTGTAAAGAGATCCTGCGCTCGCGATAACTCGTTATTTTTGCGTGGAATCAACATTATTAGTATATAATCGTAGATAGATCTTAAAAAGTTGTTAAAAGAGGTTATTTCTGTGTTTTTTATGCAATATATTAGTTGTAATAATCAGTTATATAGGTTATATTATAGATTATGTGTGTTATATTATCGTTGATTTATATGATCTGGATTAGTTTAGACATAATTTGACTTAATAAGATGTACAATCTTTTGCAAATTTTGTAACCACTTTTAAAAAAAATTATTTTCGTCATAAAGCCAATTAACACACAAATTAAAATGTAAATTTATATTTGACATTTTAAGTACATATTTTTTGTTATTATCATTGCTAATGGAATTGTATTGTACTTATTAACCTTATTTTACTGCTAAAACAATTTAAACTTGTTTCAACAAACTTTAATAGAAAAACTACATGTGTTATAATTATATATAACTATATTTTGTAAAAAAAATAGACGTTCCGGAGATTTGTTACCAATTCTATATTGTTCGATAGAATAATTGTAAAATAATTTGTATTTCGTCGAATCACATACACAAGCAGAATCACAAGTCTTTCCTCGTGACCGACGGGGCAAGCGTTGTTGTGTCGCGATAAATAAAAAAAATCAAGGGAGCCGTTCCTCGCTGCTCCTGACGCACCCTGCGTCACGGAGTTGTAGCGGTGATGATGGCGGGAAAATGCGGGGGAAAGAAATCGCACGCGTTTGATGTGCCGCCAAAGAGAACGCGCGCGGGGGCAAAGAGAGAGAGAGAGAGAGAGAGAGAGAGAGAGAGAGAGAGAGAGAGAGAGAGAGAGAGAGAGGGGGGGAGGGGGCGAGGGAGAGGAATATGCCGTCGGTGGCGGAGTAGTTTCGCGTGGGTTGGTCGGTCGACTGCAACCACGTTCCTGCGCAATCCCCCGCCAACCCCTAACCGTCTCTTTCTTTCACGTTCACTCCGATTTGCTTCGCGTTTCTCTGTTCCTCCACGCTTCGAAGGCCGCGCTTAAACGTTACCGGAAAATTATTACCGGAAAAGCGTTGCACACACGCGTGCGGCAAACCGCGGGACCCACCGACGGAATTACATTGATATTAGTATCGTTTGGCCCGACAGATTAATTAATTAAAACGAACCTTTCCCGCTTGCCGCCTGTGGCCACTCATCCCGCACACGTATTTGCGTTTTACGCTAACGCTTCAACGCAGAAAGCATACCGGAACATATATCGCGCGCCAACAATTGTCGAAGGCTTTCGTCGTGTACGCGAGCATAGTCTTTTGCTTGGCTAAATGTAGTATTATTGACCAAAAATACAAGATATGCCTCTAACAAACTGTGTATAATTCAATTGAACATTTCGACGAAGAATCTTTTCATAGTGTAGCCGTGTGTGTTTTATGGAAAAAATCGGGTAAAGACACTGTGCATTAGAAAGGTGTCGTAATAATTATTCAGATATAGACTTACCTTTCTTCGCGTGCAATATATCCGCTGGATCCGGTGGCAGAGACGAACAATGGCTCGGACTCAAACTAGATTGTATCGACGAAAACGGACTTCCCGCGCTCGACGGATACCTAAGATAACGACTGCTCTCAGCAAGAGAGTACACATGTTGTGCGCATGCTATAAATAAAGTTCTATCAAGAAAATTATTTTCAAAAGGAAAAAGACTCGCGTATAATCTCTCTACAACAGAAATTTATTTAAAAATTCTTTCCGAAAAAATTCAGAAGATTTTAAATTTTATTCCACCTGACTACGGAAGTTATCCCGGAACTCCATCCCTATATTCGTTATGCAATCAATTGTTTCTCCTAATCTTAAATCTCAAGAATGAAAAATTGAAAACAAGTTAAAAAAAATCATCGAAAAAGAATCGATCCTTGTCTTCGATTAAAAAAAAAAAAAACACGCGCTTTGCATAATAATACCATTCTAACGAGCACATAATTTGTTTGCCAATAAACGTCAGTTTTACCAGGGATTGGGTCGCGGCCAGCCGGTAGTCTGTCCGTTTAGTAGCCTGAGTTTATCGTAAACGCTCTCCGCCGGACTGCCGGCACCGACGCCAACCCCCACGGCGCCCACCCCTTGTTGCTGCTGTTGTTGCTGCTGCCTCTGCTCTTTCTGCGCGGCCAGATTCCTCAGTACCCTGTTGATCGAGGACACCTGCAATCCGCGGACACACATTCATCAATACATATATATATAAAACAGGCTAATTGTGTACTGGCATAGCCAGATGAATTCTACGTGTTTAACTTTAAACCTTTTGATGCAACGATATCTTGTAGTTTGATGCATTTTACGGCAAAGGTATGTATAAACAATACTTTTTATTGCACACAGAAATACAGAGAAATGGAAGTCTCTCTTTATAGCGATAATCGAGTAAAATTACGAATTTGTGAAAAAAAGATTATAAATACAAATAAAAATTCTGTATTAGAGAAATTTAGTCGGAAAGAAATAAAAGATAAACGTTCAACTATATTTTCTTCTAGAGCTTCTAGCTGAAACAATAAGTAATTCTCTAATCGTACTTTTATTGTACACGTAATTTAATTTAAAATGTGTTCTTATTCTTACTTTTATCATAATTTATATACCCAATAAAGAGATGTATAATGATTTCTTTTTTCAAAGAATATATATTTTTGAAGGATTGCCAAGTGGTATTTCAGAGCGGTCTCGTCTCTCCCTTTCTCTGATTTTATCTCTCTTTTAGTAGCGCTTCGTTATATTCTTTATGTTCTTGCTCATTTCTTATATTATTGTGCTTTCTTTATTTTATATCATTTGTTTCATATCTATGTAAGTATTTTTCAGTTATATTTCTTTATACTGTGTACCATGCGTTCGTTAACTGTTCTTATTTTTGTGTACTGAATGTCTAGTTCATACGGAAAAAAGAATATAGTTCACCAGAAATATTTTAGTTGTGAGCAATATAGCTATATTATCCTAGTTATCTTTATGTGATAAGAATGTGTATGGTTGATACGATTTATTTACTTTGATGTGTAGTTACTGATCTGATTGGGATCCATCAAAACTTATTAAGTTGCGTCAATCGTGACGTGTTCAAATATGAACGACTCAGAAATTGCAATTGAAATTATTCAATTAGATTATCAAGATATCTATATAATTTAAACACATAACTCTAAGTATATAATTCTTTGAATTCTTTAATCGTTTATATTTTACCAAAAATTAGTTTATCCAATCAAATCATATTTTTTCACGTATTTCTTTTACAAGTTAGTACCAATTTCTATTTATAATAAGGAAATGTTTCGTGCGATGATATTTTTGATAAAAAGATATAGAAACTTATTATATCTTTTTATCAAATAACATCGCACGAAACATTTCTTTATTATAAATAGAAATTAGTAGTAACTTAACCTATTTTTATTTGGCTTGGATCATTTACAATAATCTAAGAGCGACGGCAACTATTAATCTTTATACCACACATCAACATAATTTGTCTAAACAAACCAAATGAGTTACCATTATAACATTCGTGATTGAATGTTCAAGAAACAATCTGGTTGTAGTAACCAGATACCGTCATTACTACAACATAAATCATTCAACCATTGTGTGTACTGTGGTTCTAGCACAACCACATAAATAGTTGCTCCATATTTTACTATTCAATCTGGTTGGCATCACCAGATTTCTGTATAGACCAACCAGACTGTTTTTTCCATGGCACTTATCTATATGTCCTTAGAGAGTTCGCCGTAGAACAGTAATAAACTTTCTCTGTCTCTCTCTCTCTCTCTCTCTCTCTCTCTCTCTTTCTCTTCTCTTCCCGATGATATCGGATTTATTATAAATACGAAGTGTGCGGAGAGTGATGAAGATCCTCCGGGAAAGAGGGAGAGAAGCAGGAAGGCGCTTCTGCCCGATGAAATGCGACGAGAGTGGTAATTAAAACGATGCGGTGAGCGGCTGCCGGCGCGGCGCATTGCACGAGGGAGTTAATTACCTCCGCCTTCAATTATATCCGTCTCTGCGCCACTCCAAGGGGACTTGGCTTCTGCCGACGTAAGTACGTAAGCACTCGCGCGTTTGCGGCGCGGGTTAATGCTCGCTACGCACGTATCCGTGTACCGAAATTCGTGATCACTCTTAACTCTTAAGTGAGCGCCGCAATACTGATAACGTTACAATGTATTGCGTTCGATACCATCACGGTATGAAGATTTCAACGGGAAATCTACGTGAGAACAAGTTTCGTGTTGCGATGTATCTCTTATATATATATACATGTATACGTACATCGTTCGTTCCTTAATTATTATGATAATATAAAGACCTCATATATTATTAATTTCCTAATTTCTTTCAAACATATTTAACTGTATAATTTTCTTATTAAATAATTTTCGAGATACATCATTAATTTTTCTTCAATTCTTACTTTTTCCTACCTTTCCCACTTACATCAAGAGGCTGCAAATTGACGAATATTACTTTCCATTTTTCTATCACACACTCGTGCTATTTAATTTTTATTCAGAAATAATTTTTTTATTCAACCGTACTCTCTTGCGCAATATGAAAACAAAATTAAAAATCGAGCTTTTTGTTTGCGACATCGCATACCAAACCATCTATTTTGCGCATGTATATGCGAATGCGAGCACGATGAAATATCTACAGGCGCGAAGAATTTACGATCTCCTAAAGACAGGGCTCTTTTTATTTTCGTATCTTTTATTTGTCTTCTTCCGCGGGCTGCGTTCGTCGCTTCTGTCACTTACAGCTCGTATAAATCCCGACGGAGCCGTAAAAGAATTCTCACAAAACTAAAGCGGCAGGTCCTCCTGCTGCCGATAGTTTCGCAATTTATTCCTTTACACTCTTGTATTATGCCACGCACATCGCGGCAAGCGACGCCGTATTAAGGGCGTAATAAAAAGACAAATTTTTCGATTCCGATCGTTAAGAGTATCGAGAATTAATGAGTTCACCAAAATTTCTTCAAGACTCGCTTTATTGAGAAATAAATGCGACAATATAATTTTTTTAGAGCAATATTTGTGGCATAACGCCACTAAACTAAGATTTTCTTATCATTTTTTAGTTCAGTACGGCGTCTAGAATTATTAAGTCAAGACAATATTTGTTTAGTATAAAAATTCTGTATTTATGAAATTAGAAATTAATCGATTACACAAAAAAACGTCGAGTTCTTACAATCAGATATCAAGTTTAATATGAAAATTCTTATGAAAATTTATAAGTGTGTGTGCGTATAATAATGATATATATATAGTGATGTGTCACGTAATTGTACGTGTAAAGCCCCATTGAATTAGTAAAATAGCAATCCCGCGTTAAGGTTCTGTCTTTAGTTCAGAGAATCTCCATTTTATATCATTATTTTAATCATCCAACAAAATTATTTTCAGATCTAGCTAAATTTTTTAACACTTTAACGAAATCATTCTTTCTATGATAAATATGACAAATTAGTACATAGAACGTTCTCTTTAACTGTAAAAATAATGATCACTCTCGGAAAAATATTTTTTTATAATTGGTGGAAATTTTCTTCATGTTGATTGGATTATACTTTTACATCCAATAGAACAGTCCTATATCTCATAATAAAGAAAATTTGCAACAAAAAAATTATAAAGTGAACATTCTGTTGAACGCAGCCTATGCTTGATTTTTTGTAAATCTTGAGTAAAGAAAATTAAATTCTCAATATTTCTATATAATGGATAAAATTCTGACATTCTTTTACGAAGTATCTTAAAGCTTTTAATGCAACCTATCAGTCGATAAATCTGGAATGAAGGTAAATGGTTCCGGCAGATAATTTTTCATGATTATTCGTCGCATCTTGATTATATTGCACGCACCGGATCAAAAGACAGGACGAGACATGAGAGAAATAAACCGGATGACGGCGGTACCAGCGACAGAATGCCGGATCGGTCATAGGAGATATTCGTTCCCCGGGGTTTGTTAGACCCGATGTCAGGGTACCACGGCGTTGAAACGAGCTGACATCTCGGACCCACCACCGGAGCGGAGCGTCATCCCCCTCGGCGCCCACGACGGCCACCATCACCACCACAACCGCACGATCTCGTCGTGTCTCTTCGCCGCTGACGCGAAAGAGACGTCACTGGCACTCACCCCTCGTCTTGTCGCCAACATCCACTGATGTCCGAAACATCCTGCCTTCACGTACCTCCAAAGATTCAAATGCCTTCCGTCAGCAAATTAACAACCTCCGTAATATAGAAGGGAATAGAATAGATGACCGGTATATGATGAGGATTAAAAACACTTTTTATTACGCTTCATTTAATTATAAACGTCCGATCTTCTTGAAAAAAGTACGTGTTGTATAAAATTGATTCTTTTATAAACGCAATAAAAAGTACTAACTTCTGCACAATGCTATTCTTAAATCGAAACTATGAAAAGTATTCAAGTTGGGAAAAGTTTAGAAAGACGTAAAGAACACTCACATAAAATTGAAAAACTTGTAATATTTTTTTCATTTTATATTATTATTTTTTATTTTAATGATATTGAGAATCTTACAATTAATTTCAAATTGTAAGATTTTTTCTCATCATGTGTTTATCAGAACACGGAAATCCATGCAATCTTTCAGATTAGGCAAGCTGATTCGTCGATGATTCCAAGCTGCGCCTATGAAGTTGGCCGATGTCAAAACCAATCCACAATGAAAAAAGTCGTTGTCGCGCACAAAGAAGCACTTGGCGACAAAGCCAGAAACCCAACGAGCGACGGCTGCCTGTCAAGGGACAATCAGCGCCTCGCGTGACATCGAGTGTCCGGGCTGTTTGACCGTTTTTTGATTGACGTCAAACCGCAAATATCGTGCTGGCTGCTTCTCAATCGTTGCGATATATTTACGACGTGTGTCACCCTCGTTATTATTCGTAGAGATCGTTGTGCCGTGGAAATCGACACCACAATGAGCCCGCTTTTGTGGCGAGCTAAACAGGCGCTTTGCAAAACCACAAGGCACTTCCATATCGCGACACTTCCTTCTTGTACCAATCCCGAAAGCAGAAGGTTCTTCTAGACGCACAAGCTACTCTACTTTTGCATTAAATTTTAATGATATATTGTTTGCTTTAGAGCCAATTTGTATAAAA